ATTGTAGGTGTGGAGGCATCAGTTACTATTAAAGCTATGTCTTGAAAAAAATTATATTTTTTGGCATCATTAGGCGTCAAAATTTGTGGTTTTTGATGGCAAAGTAATTTGTTAATTTTGAAAGTTGATAAGTTATCTTATTGAATGTGTCTATCGGTAAGTAACATTATTTTTTAAACTGCAATCTATAGGCTCTTTACTTCATTAAACAAAATCATTGGAAATACAAGTTGATACTAAAAATACTGCAATTGTTTTACATTCAAAATAATGGGGTAACTTGATACACCGTTTGTGAGGAGCTCTAAAACTGTTGGAGTAGTACTCCATTGTGTCATAAACAATTCTAAAAATCATTTCTTTTAATATTTACAGTCTATTTTAACAAGATTTATGTAAATATAATACTAGGAGATTCAATTTCGATACAAAGACATTATTTATTGACGCTTAAGTATGACATTTTAAACGGTATATTATCTGATTTTCTGAAAGGTAATTTGGACCTTTGAATGCATTATTTGGGTTATAATTGTTAACTTTATCTTTTCTCCTCATTTTATACTTTTTAGATTTTTAATGATGTTTATAGTGTGCATCAAAGTACCCCGTGGGTGGTACAAAGTACCCTGTGGGTAGGGTATCTTGATTTTTATAAAATTAACAAATCAATCAGTAAATTATTTGATGAAAACAAACATATATAAGTATAAATTTAAGGTTTAAATAAAATAATTGATAAACACATATAGTTAATAAAAAGTTTTAGTGTATAAAGAGGATGTATCAGCAAACTTCAAGACAAAAAAAAAAAAAAGACAAAAAAAAAAATTTTACAAGAAAAGTTAAAATGTTAATGAATTTAATTTTACTATTATCAATTATTTACTATCAATTATTAATGCTATGATCAAGGCCGGCGCGAAGGTAGGGGTGTGGGGGTTGTAACCCCCCCCCCCCATCAATGATTTTTAGTCGGCAACTTTGACCTTTAGTCGGCAAATTTGACCCTTAGTCGGCAAATTTGACCCTTTTCGACTAGTTAGTCGGCAAATGTCGACCCTTTCGATATAGGGTAGTCAGTAGTTTAAACAATTAGTCAGCAAATGTTGTCATGGCAGTTGGCAAATTTTCAAAAACGAGGACATTTTTTTTTTTTTTTTAGTCGGCAAAAATGATAATGGCACCCCCCACCACCACCACCCACGTGACACCTACTCGCGCCGGCCCTGGCTATAATATTATGTATTCAGATCTTTTGGTGGTAAATGTTGTTGCTTTTTGTTTTGTTTTATTTCTTTTTGCTTGTCTTATAAACATTTAAAGTTCCATTTTTTGCTCCAGTTGCGCGATGAAGCAAGGCCTGTTATCAAGTAAGTCACGGTTCAATGCTATAAATTTTTTTTGAAAATAAATAAAATTTTCATTCTTGAACCAAATTTTTATTTAAAAAATGCAAAAATTTAACGAAAACAAACGCGCTTTTAGCACTAAGGAAAATTAATTTATAAAAGTATAATTGTTGAAATAATTTGACTTGTTAACAATAAGGAAGGAACAATTTTAAGGAAGATAAACTTCCAACAACATTTAATCTATGTACTTTCAACTGCCACGGTCTAAAGTCTAATTTTGAGTATACCAAATCGTTGATTTTCTCTCATGACATAACTTTTATATGTGAACACTGGTTATCGAATTTAGAATATTTCATAATAAAAAATATCTATAAAAATACCCACTCTTCATTCTTCCACCAGGCTAACATAAGCAGGGTCGACCGTTTAGCGGAAACGCTTTTTTTATTCGGAAACATTTCTTTCAAAACATTATTATTCTATATGAAGATGATCATATCTTTGCAATAAATCTTAAAAAAAAATCAGACTAATATTATTATTATTGGTATTTATCTTTCATCGTCGCGCAATAATCAAACATCACTGGAGGATTACAAGAGTCAGTTGGATATAATTTCAGGTGTTATTAATAACTACGAGGGCGTTGCTGAATTTATTGTCCTTGGTGACTTTCAATCTTTTCCTCACGGAATATATGATTCATTAAAGAGAGCTAGCTCTACGAAAAATAACTACTCCGTAGTTTTTACAAATTTTATTAAGTCGAATAAACTTGAATTAGTGGACGTAACAAAAGGCTCTGGACCTAACATAACGTATCACCATAATACATTACTAAACGCATCTTACATAGATCACATAGCTTTCTCAAAGTATACGTCTCTTCTTTATTCCAATTGTTTCGTAATTCCTTTTTTTTCTCAAAACATGAGTGATCATTTACCAGTATCGATTGAAGTTGGAATTATTGGACAATCTTCTCAAGAAAACAATCATAAAAACTCAGACAAGTACAGCATTCCAATTTATGCCTAGAATAACAATGATTTTTTACAATTATATAACAATCGCTTAAATACTAATTTTAATTTTTACAATTTTACGAATGACAATTACGATGAGGAACTTATCAAAGTATATACTGTTATTACAAAGTCGGCATCTGAGGCACTTAATCAATATTTATTCATAAAAACACCGTCATTGTATTCAAAATCCTGGTGGACACCCGAATTAAGCCGTAGTAAAAATTTTCTTTCATTTTATCTTAAAAAATGGCGGGAAACTGGGTTCGTTAAAAACTTAAACTCGCAAATTTTTATTCGATAACAGATGGCACGAAAAAATTTCCGCAATGCTGTAAAAAATGCTCAAAATAAAAACATTTGCAAAGAATACATAAAAATCGAAACGTTAAAAAATGCAAATCCAAAATATTTTTGGAAAACTTTCAGAAATATAAAAAAATATGGAAATTCGAAATTGTATATCATAAATAATAAAAAAGATAAAGACTCGATCACGAAAGAATTTGCCTACAGTTTTGAAAGTCGATTAAACTCTAAAGCAATCACATATACCTCTACAAATTTAAAAATTCCACCTTGCACAAAATTCGACGAGGTTATAATAATGGATGAAAATATAAAAACGGTTATTTCTCGCCTTAAATTAAACAAATCCAAAGACGCCTTCGGAATATCAGCTGAACATTTAAAGAATGCGAGCTGTGAAGCTTTCTAACAGAAAGGCTCAGAAAATTTTTTTACTTTTTTTTTAATCATGGACAGACCCCAAAATCGATGTCTACATCACTTATAATACCACTTACTAAATCGTATAAAAAAATCCTTAACTGATCCAAATAACTAACGCGGCATTAGCATCATTCCAATCTTTACGAAACTAATAGAATATCTTATCCTAATAATCTGTCCAGAAATAAAAGAAACTCATCGTCTTCAATTCGGTTTCACTAAAAATAGCTCTACCCTACACGCTGAATTTGTTATTAGTGAAACAATTAAACACTACAACAACAACAACTCACCTGTCTATCTCTGTTCCCTAGATGCTGAAAAAGCGTTTGACAACTGCAATTGGGACATTCTGTTTGAGAGACTGTACAATGATAAAAAACTCCCTCTGTATATTGTTAATACCATATCGTCATTATACTATGAAAGCAGTTCTTCTGTTTCTTATCTAGATTGCAAATCATATCTTTTCTATCTAACGCAAGGAGTGAGACAGGGATCTATTCTCTCACCTCATTTGTATAACATTTATACTCAAAACCTACTAGAAATCTTACAAAACGAAAGCGTCGTAGGTAAATCAATCAATAGAAACTATACGGGTGTTGTAGCATATGCTGATGACATTATACTCCTTAGCTCCACCCTCTCTGGCCTACAAAAGCTTATTAATATATGTAATATGTACACACACAAAAACTGCATAAAATTGAATGCTGACAAAACCGAGTTCCTGCTCACCGGAAAAAAGCAAATTAAAAACTGCACAATAACTCTCAACCACCAACAAATAAAACTTCATGATAAACTTAGTCATCTAGGCTTTACATGGGATACAAAAAGTTCCCCTTTTGCCTCACTTAATAAATCAAACATTGATCACCGAAAATCTAATTTCCGGACGGTAATCCAAACCTTAATTCAATCAGGAATCCGTTTTGCTCACCCAAACTCCATTGTTCAGTTATATAAAACTTTAGCTGTTCCAACACTAACGTATGGTCTTGAGCTGTGTGAACATAAAAAAATGTTAATGCAAAAGCTTGATATAGTTGGAAGAAATGCACTTAAGTCACTCCTCGATGTTTCAAAACATAGCAAAAATTATATTCATACCTTATTTTTTATTGAAGATATATCAATTATTATACAACAAAACAAGCTAAACTTATTTATTCGTTTGATGAACAATAAAATGACATATGATATTATTAGGTCGCAGCTGAAAAACAAAACAGCCCCACAACATTTTTTAGATAGTATCAAAGGGTTGTGCAATAATCATGAACTAAATCTGGAGACAATAATGGAAAGTAAAAAAAAAAAAAAAAAAAATTGTCGACCTCAAAAATTTAATCCCTGAAACGGATCTTCAATCTCTAAAATGTGCAGTTGAGTACTGGAACTTAAAAGAGCAGAGAACTATCTTCAAGGACATTCTTGAAAAACATATTCCAAGATGATCACATTGAAACAAAAAAAAAAAAAAAAATTTCCAAGATTTTTTATATTTATCTTGTATGAAACTCTTAATTTACCTTACTTGTATACTGGGTGTTTAATACATCTAAAACAAAAAAAAATAAAAAATAACTTTTTTTTTTAGAAAAGCTTTGTTCTATATTAATTATTCATATAATAATATAGCAGTAACATTTTCAGAACGCAAAAAAAAAAATTTAAAAAGATTAAAGAATTCAAAAAGAAAGCAGAAGAAATGTCCCTTATGTCGTTATTGATATTATTGACGCAAATATTTAAAGACAAAGCCGTTATTGATATTATTGACGCAAATATTAAAATAATAAATGACATATTACACTAAGTAGAGATAAAAGTAAAAAAAATGTAAGTAAAAAAAATGTAGATAAAATTAAAAAACAACAACAAATGAATAGGAACATAATCAAGAAAGTTCAGACTTTAACAAAAAACTTGTCGATAAAAGTATTTATGAAAATAATGCATTTCAACAAACATTTAACTCAAAACTTAGGAACAAAAAATTTCGAAGATACAATATAATATAAATCTACCACTTAGAAACAAACTAAAATTGATAGAATACATGAAAGAAAAAGTTATTGAGAGATAGTGAAGCAAAGTTAAATACAATCTTTTTACAAATATTTGGTTGTAATTAAGTGTTCTCACCTCACTGAACACAAAAAAAGAGAACAACGTTACAAATATAAAAATTATTATGGAAAAATTGTTTTTCTTGAAGCCACTGATACCTTTATTAACACTAATACCTTCATTAAAAACGATTTCTATTCGAAAAATTCTTTGCGGAAGTAAAACAAAAACGATTGAATGGTGAACATGTTTTATTAAGGTATGACAAAATTGTTTATCTTAAAAATACTAATTTAAGAAAAAAATAATATTTATTTTAAAAATACTTCTTATTTCAAAAACGCTATTTATTTCAAAAATACTAATTTTAAATTCAACTTTAACAAACGACTAGCAAAGCACTCTTAATAAAAGAAACTTTTACTAACAATGCTTTGGTTTTTTTTTAATAATTACTTATGCCTGTATCTTTAAATCTCTTTTTGTTTTTAATTTTTATGAAACAAACTAATTTTCCTCAAAACTTAGATTCCAAAAATTTTGTTTGTACTAGTTTTTGAGGAGCGGACGAAGGTCTCGAGTCTCGGTGCGGCCGTGGCACAGTGGTATGAGTTCTGGCTCAAAACCCAAAGGTCCGAGGTTTGAAACCGGCTCTAGCCCAATAAACAACATTGGTTAAGAAGGAGGCATGAACTTTCTTATAAAATGCTCTTCCACTGTGCTCTGTGATAAGACCGTAAGGACTTCGGGGAACACCTTAATAACTATACAAAAAAAAAAAAAGAAAAAAAAAAAAAACGCCATACGCTATATTGTAAGTGACACAACTATGCCCAATGTGCAAATAAAATAAATTGGATGTGGAGGGAGTTGGGTAAAGTAATAATTTTATTTAATAAAGACAAAGATAAAATTTTAATAAAGAAAAGATAAAAGTTTCTCCGATTACATCGGAGAAACTTTTATCTTTGTCTTTATATGAACACGATTTAAAACTAAGTTTTCCATCAGGTTGTTTCTAGTATTTTAATACGACCATTAAACATGTAAAAATTAGGAAAAAAATATGAACATTATTGACTTGAGTAATGTTTTTACTTGTTTCTCAAGAAAACAAAAAGAACAACTCGATTAATTTTGATTAATCGAGTAATGTTCTAACAGCCTGACTCGATTAATTTTGACTAGTTTTAATAAAAAATAGATTACAAAGTTTGACATCAAGGCTGTGGAATCGGAGTCGGAGTCGGAGTTGCAGAGTTGCGACATTTTCAGCGGAGTCGGAGTCGGATTCGCTTAACAAAATCGTGACCCCGACTCCGATAGTAAAACTTTTCGGTATTGCACGTCCATGTACAAAACATTCAATTAACCTTATGTCCATAATAAACATCAAAGAACGTTCCATAAATTTGTTAAAAAAGAAATTTTTAATTTATCGCGTTAAAAAAATTTTGCTTTGGAGTCGGAGTCGGAGTCGGAGTTGGACTTGGAGTCGGAGTCGGAGTCGGAGTTGTGCTCAAAAAATTTCAACAACTGGAGTCGGAGTCGGAGTCGTTACTTTTTTTTACGACTCCACACCCTTGTTTGACATGCTGCTTTTGGTTTAAATTAGTAAAGCACTGCAGTTATGTTTTGCTTTAAATAAACAACTTTTTGGAACATTTTCAATAAAGTCATGCGTTAACGTTAAAAATTTTAAATCATTTTATATCATACCTACCATGATCAGAGGCGATTTTAGGTGTGTGTGTGTGTGTGTATGTGTGTGTATGTGTGTGTGTGTGTGTGTATGTGTGTGTGTATGTGTGTGTGTATGTGTGTGTGTATGCGTGTTTGAGTGTGTGTGTGTGTATGTGTGTGTGTGTGTGTGTGTGTGTGTGTGTGTGTGTGTGTGTGTGTGTGTGTGTGTAGGGGAGAGGGAAGGGAAGGGGAAGGGGAAGGGGAAGGGGAAGGAGCGATGTTCTACACCCTGAAGAAGGTGATTTTAAAGTTATAACCGGGTTTTTTATGACTTTACTTTTTTACGGTTTTTTTTTGTTAAAGGAACGCATCGGCTCTTTTAAAAGATTGACCCCCCCCCCTTTTTATTCGTAGAGTTGCCTCTGATCATGATTTAACAAAATTTTTAAAAAAATTTAAAAGTTTTAAAATTTTAAAATTTACTTGTTTTTTGTTAAATCTTGTTACAACTGAGTACATTAAAAATGCGTACATTTTAACTGAGTATATTGTAAGACATCAAATGCCAATCGCTTTAAGGTATAGCTAACAAAGTGGAATTTATATTCAAACGAATAAGATTGCTACTTTAAATAACGAGGAATAAATTTTCCAATTTTCTTATGATCCGCAAAGTATAATTTACATCAGCAAGTTTTGTAAAATAAATTTTGCATTCTCTGCAAAGTTTTCACTGTAAACTTTTTTTAAATTCATTTTCTAACAAAAAATGTTATAAAACATAAATAAAAATAAAAATATTCAAATTTATTTTTTTACTCCGTTACTTGCAGGATTTGACGGGGTTAAATCCCACTTCTTGGTTTATATGACTTTTTTAAATTTAAACAGAAGAATTTTTTTTTAATTTTCAGCAGCAAAAAATAAAAAAGAAATAAAAGTGAATTTGAATTAATTTTCAAAACTTTTTGCAATTTTAATGCAAGCAATATTTTATCTATTTCACAAAAACATGGACTACATTAAACAAACTGAATTCTTAATTTTCCAAACGGGCACAAGACGTGTTTATGACATATAGCAAACGTATTAAAACGTTTTACATCGTTTTCAAACGTCTAAAACACGTCTTAAATGGAGAGGAAAATAAATTAGCGCAGTGATAGTAGACGTAACGTAAACTGCATCTAGTTTTCGTTCACGAAACTTTTGGGCATTGTTTTAGAAATTTTGTTAGAAAAAAAATTAAAAAAATTGTTAAAATGATTTAAGTGTTTCGTATTATGATAAAAAAAAAGTTTTAAGTATTAAAAGTACAAACGAACAACGACAAAAAATTTTTATAATGCTGTTCTTATGATTTTTTTATAATGATGTTTTGATTGTACTTTTACAACATAGGTAACGTCAAAAAAAAGTAAAACTTTTTTTTTATCGTAGATAATCTAATGTAATTATACATGTCTATATAGTGAAATATTTTCATGATATGATTTCAAAACGGGGTCTGGTTGATCTCGTTTCGAAAACCGCCATTGGAGTAACAATAAACTCAACAACTCTAATGAACTCTCATAAATATTATAACTATACATGAACTTTTTAAAAATCAGAAAATAATAGGATATATCGATTTTTAAGAAAAGTTGAAAATCCAATCATTTACCAATCTTTCTTAAAAGTAAATAAAATAAGTTCAGAAAGAAAAGTAAGCAATAAAGAATTAAATAGAAATCGCATTAATAGCAATTATATAAAAATATTAAACGGTTAACTATCATGTTTAATTAAAAAAAAGGTATGATAGACTAGTTGGAGAAAAAACGAAGACAAAAATTGTTTAAAATCGTGGTACGGCCTTAGTAGTATTTTAACACCAACTCAAAATAGCACCTTGGTGTTTTAAAGGAAAAATTGACTGAGTTGACTGAATAAGTTTTTAACAACTGTTCCATCAAGAAGTCTGTTCGAACGATCGAACTGTTCGAACAATCAAGAAGTCATCACAACAAAAATCAAGATCTACGTAAAATGTTTTTTGAATACTTCTACTACTTGTTTGATCCCTTATCTATTACTTCCCCATTTAGCTATCCTCGCAGTCGGAAATACGTCATCATCTTTACCACGAGCAGCTACCATTTTAGTTGGGCGAAAACAAACATTCTTTCGGAAAAGCAAACACTGGCATAAACAAAAGAAATCTTTAAAATGCCCAACAGTTGTTGTTTCTTTAAATGTTTTTTGATGCACTCATAGATAAGAATATAAATACACACAGATATATATATATATATATATATATATATATATATATATATATATATATATATATATATATATATAAAAATAATAAAACGCTCAAAACAATATCATTCGATAGTTTTTATTGAAATAATTTAAGTGGAATGTGATTATTTAACTTTAGTATATATATATATATATATATATATATATATATATATATATATATATATATATATATATATATATATATATATATATATATATATATATATATATATATATATATATATATATATATATATATATATATATATATATACATACATACATATATATATATATATATATATATATATATATATATATATATATATATATATATATATATATATATATATATACATATATATATATATATATATATATATATATATATATATATATATATATGTATATATATATATATATATATATATATATATATATATATATATATATATATATATATATATATATATATATATATATATATATATATATATATATATATATATATATATATATATATATATATATATATATATATATATATATATATATATATATATATATATATATACTAAAGTTAAACAATCACATTCCACTTAAATTATTTCAATAAAAACTATCGAATGATATTGTTTTGAGCGTTTTATTATTTTTTTTTTATTGTGCTTTTTGAATATATATATATATATATATATATATATATATATATATATATATATATATATATATATATATATATATATATATATATATATATATACTAAAGTTAAATAATCACATTCCACTTAAATTATTTCAATAAAAACTATCGAATGATATTGTTTTGAGCGTTTTATTATTTTTTTTTTATTGTGCTTTTTGAACAACGAGTAAAAAATTTCTAGATTAGAACTGAATCAATAAATGCCTAGATAAGAATTGGTTGTATTTTATATCTCCATTTATATTTTATATTTTACATTGAACTTTATTTGCTATAACCTCTAGTTATAGCAAATAAATTATCTCTAAATTGTGAAAAAACTAGCTTTATTATTTTTCATAAAAAAAAACAATCAATTAATCTTCCGTTAAAGCTGCCTAAACTGTTTATTAATAAAAATAAAATTAAATGTGAAAAATGCACAACATTTTTTGGTGTAGTTTTTGATGAAAATTTTTCATGGAGAAACCATAATTGGTCTTCTTGAATGAAAAATGTCATCTGTAATAGGTGTTTTGTATAAGTCGAGAACTTTTCTCGATAGTAAATCACGTAATATGCTTTATTTTAGTCTTGTA